TGCACTTTAAGTTGCTGACACACGGTGCAACATTGCACACAGCATTGCAAGCAACAAATTTAAATCGTGGTGACACACTTTGCAACAAAATCACACAATATCGCTTGTGTCAGCCTTCTATGCTAAGATATTTGATCAGCAGTTATAAATTTGGTGTAAGTTGATTGACTGGAAATTTCAAAATGTTGCACGCAATGTCTTTCTGGTTTTCCTTCCTTGTCAAAACCTAAAGAATGAAATTCCAATTTGATCTGCAAGTTATCCATGCCTTGACTTAGATAAGGCCAGAGGTTGTTTCAAGCAATCCATAAAACTTGAAAGGTTTTTTAATTAGGGAAAAAACCTCCAATTGCCCTATTTCACTATGATGTCACTGCTTGTTTATGTGGGGGATAGAATCACCAAATCCAATAGAAAATTCACAAAATTTGCTCCTAGTGAAACAGTTTAATCTAAAATGGCCTGGTTTTCAGATATAATATGTGTTAATATGTACTAAAAAATATTCTGAGCTTTTGCTGGCTATTCTACTTCTCTGTGTAGATTGATACGGGTTTTAGAACAATTTTCGGTGAATTTGCGTTGATTTGACCCCCTCTGATGACCATGATCCTTTGCGTTTAAGCAATAGATTGTTTTGATGTGATGTCATAATGAAATAGGGAAATTGACAAAGAGAAAGCTAACAGATTCTACTCACATTTGATGCCGAGTCCCAAAATCAAACCTGCCCCAGAGGTCAGAGGAGAGTGCACCACCACTACCCTACTCTTAATTCCCTTAGCCCTGGCCTGACTTTGATCAGTCCAGATGTTGTTTAGGGTTCAATAAAATATAATAGAAGTAATAGATCAAAAACGAGTGCGAGTGTATGATAAGAGCATCCAAAAACTGAGAAACAGATGAAAGCATGAGGTCGTAGAAAACTTGCTTCTCAGTCTCATTATAATTCATTTGTTCTCGAATCTACTGAGACTAAAAAAATGATCAGTGTTTGATCCATTTTTGATCAAGTATCAAGGTGCGTGCAAATGACTACAATGCAAAGTCACCATTGGTCATTGACCTCATGAATTATTAATGAGGTCGAAAAAGTTATTTTACTTGTTAAAAAAATTCACCAGTCGTAACCATTCTAATTGCAGGAGATTTCACATCTTAAAACAGAAATCAAACAGAAGGAAGACATCTTAAGTAAGCTATCAGAGAAAGTAGATTACTGGACAAAAATACTGGATGAGCTTCAAAGAAAACAAAAGGCAGAAATAGAGGTAGCCAATGCATCAGCAATGTCTAGTTTACCTACAAGTCAAAGGCTTACCAAGACTACCTGAGATGTAAGATTATAATAGGTTGGCACTTCTTGCACTTGTAAATATATATACAATGTAAAAATCAATATCTGTGTGGGATATTATCGATTCTAGTTTTTTTCTTCATTCCAGAATAAATGTTTATGACCTTATAATTTACATAATATAAATTATTATATAGGTTAGATAGTACACAGCTCTGATTGGTCTAGAACTGTGCCGAGTTTTGGTTGCATCTTGCCTATATCACATGTGCTTCTCTGCACACTTCTTTCGTTCTTTCATTAACTGAAAAGAAAGTTTATTCTAGGAGTTGTAGTTAATGACACCATGATTCAAATGAGAAAGCAATTCAATGTTAGTAAGTCTGACAAATTTGAGCATGTTTTGTTAAAAAGAACCAGAGTTACAATCCTACAAAAATGTCAAATACAGTTACAGAGAATCTATGTTTTGGGCGGATACTTTGACTTTGACACAGTCTGTCTCCTATCAGATTAGTTTCAATTTGGATACTCTGAGAGTTTTACGCTTCAATCCTCTTTTATTTAATCATTATCCTCATCTTGTATTCATTAATGCTCAATATAAAGCCAGACATGGCCACCAGCCTCAGTCACTGACCAGTCAAGTTGCTTTTGTTGTTGTAAAGAGGACTGACTAAGAATGTATTTGGCCAGATATTAAGCACACAGCCTTTTTTAAAGGTACCTTTTCTACAGGCATCTCTTTGACTTTGGAGCTCCTATGTTAGGATTATTTTGAAATTCCTGTGTTAGGAAAGAAGATGAGAAGGAAGAGGGGCCAATTTTAGGCAGACATTGACGTGCCTATATTTAGCCCTAGTCTTAAGAAATGACTATCTTTACGCTCAAGGCAGTACAAGGTAACCAAAAAATTACGTGTACTTGTCGGCGTGCCATATTACCAGAATCTGCATAGGAGATGCCCAGGCAAAATTCACATTAGAATCTTTTGAAACTAAGTTAAAATAGCTTTAGGATTGGGTACTAATTTTCAGATTGTCAAGTTATATCCAAACTTCCAGTTTCTTTTTTGTAAAAAATGGACAATATTTATCTTAATTTCTTTTCAATGTTCAACACCTAATTTTTATTTGGATATTACAGCCTAAAATATCCACACAGGACTTTTTTAAATTTTATTTTTTTCCGGTCCGGTATCCTAAAAAAATGGTGCATTCTGATTGGCTTTTTGAGCAGGCGAAATTTTGTCAGTATCTGCCCGCACTTGCGGTCCGGTATCCTTTGCTTCTAAACAACAAAACAAAACGATTACAAAAACAAGTAAAAAAAATATGGGAAAAAAATAAATAAGTTATTTACCGTCCTATAGTCGGTCCGGATAGGGAAAAACTGTGTCCTCGGTCTTGAAAATGGGCCTTGGCCTAACGGCCTCCTATCCAAGCCTACTGGCTGGTAAATAACATGTATGTCTTCATTATCTATTAAGAAGCATGATTGGCATAGCAGTGAGAGCTCACCTCTCACCACTGCAACCCAGGTGAGATTCACTGACTCAGTATCATATGTGAGTTGAGTTTGTTGATGATTCTCAACTGCTTCAAGGATTTTTCTTCAGGTTTCTCTGCCTCCACAAAAATCAACATTTCTAAATTCTAATTTGATCTTAGGCGGTATTCTCAATAGGGCTAACCTCAGTCAAATCAAACTATTGGTCTATTATCAATGCTGCATTCTGATTGGATGAGCTACAATACTACTTGCATATAAGCAATAGCCTACTAATAGGGAAAAGTGCCGGCTTTGAACACCAAAACCCGTTTGCATCTATATATTTGAATAACTAGTTGGATTTGACTAAAACAATTAGTCCTCTCTCCTCATCGCCTATTAGTCAATAGCCCATTCAGGCTGAAGGACTTATTGCTAAATTTATCCTTTCACACTACATTTATGTACATTGTAAATAAATTGCCCTATTTCACTATGACATCACATCGAAACAATCTATTGTTTAAACGCAAAGGATCATGGTCGTCGGAGGGGGTCAAAACAACGCAAATTCACCGAAAATTGTTCTAAACCCCTATCAATCCACGAAGAGAAGTAGAATAGCCAGCAAATGCTCAGAATATTTTTTAGTACATATTAACACATATTATATCTGAAAACCAGGCCATTTTAGATTAAACTGTTTCACTAGGAGTAAATTTTGTTGAATTTTCTATTGGATTTGGCGATTCTATCCCTCACATAAACAAGGAGTGATGTCATAGTGAAATAGGGCAATTGTTTTTCCCCCGATCCACTTTTAGGATTTTGCATTTCAGAGTTTCATTTCAAGTGATTTCAAACTTAGTGTAATGACCAATTTTGCAGAAACAATGCAGTATCCAAGTTTATAAGTGCATTCATGTATGCCTGGCTTCAAATTTTACCATCTGGGTTACATCAAATATGAAAAAATATTATTAGATAATAGGGATTAGTTTGATCAAAGTTGGTACATGGCTAAGTCACAGATTGAAATTGGATGCAAGGGAGGAAAACTAAAGAGACCAAAGAAAAACCCTTACAATCAAAGGAGACATTCAACAAACTATGCTCAAATGTGATGCTGAGTCCTAGAATCGAATCTGAGACCCCAGAGCAAGGATCAAAATAGCGGCCTGCCAATGGCCAAATGACAGGACAAATTTCAGGTTTGGCAGGTGAAAATAACGATGCACTGCCAAATGAATAATAAAATGACATGCAAAATTTACTGGATTGACCTACTTTATCTACTATGGCAGGCTACAATTTTATTTCCATTTCAAGCCCTACAGTATAGAGGTGAGAGGCAAGTGCACTAGAATATGTATCTATGCCACCCTAAATTCTCTAAGACAGACAGTACAGGATAATGAAAATGTAACAACTCTACAAGTCAAAATCCTTTATTTCAGTCGATAAACTTCAATACACAACCAAATTCTAGAAAATCCTTTACAAACCAGAAATACCTAGAATAAATACAATGATTGAGTAGACCAGCAATTTATGCAGCATTCGTTTCTTTGGGTGCCTTGGACTTCTTTGACTTGTAGTAAAACATTATGGCAAAGAACGTACCATATGTTGCAACAACAATCTGGAAAGGAAAGACAATATCAATAGCTTGCTTGTAGCAACTTTCATAGCTGTCAGTCAATGTTATGCGAACTCAGTACTTGCAAACTGCATGTTTTTTGATTTCCATCAATCAAAAGTAAACAGTCGGCATCTCTTATATCTTTGACTGACGGCAGTGAAAAACCAAATTCCAATAGCCAACTTGCAACTACTAAGGTTGCATAATAATATTGAATATTGGTCATTACATCAGTTGGTTTATGTTTTGTTCCTTTTTATAAAACATAGGCCATGTTAACAACTGGAGCTATGGGAAAAGGCAGTTTCACATTCAAGCTGTCATATAAGGTGGGTGTAATGTTATCTAGGACCAAATCTGCTGATGCATTGTTAAGCATCCACTCGTAAATGAGTCCCCAGAAATGCAACATCTATTCTTGAGGCGCATGTTATGTCATAGCCACCATGTTGGTTGACGATAACAAAGCATTTCTCACTAACTTTTATTGTTAGATCAACCAACATGGCGGCTGTCTCATTGTTATTTATATCTCAAGGGATTTCGAGTTTTGGTTGCACTCCAGGAATACTTTAATTGCCCCTTAGTTAGAAGAGGGTTGTATCGTCGAGTACGGGAATTGTCAGGGGAATTCTATTCAAATTCAAATTTCAAGTAATCGGCTAGTAATCGTACCCTACGATAGCATAAATTAAACTATAATAAATATTTATGTGCACGCGCTGATGATACATCGTTTAAATATGAATAAAAAATGAGACCACCCAACCGAATTCAATTCGTGGTCTAGGGGTTAGGGTTGGGGTTGGCATTGTAGTAGTTCTTTGGTGCCGAAGGTACCGAGTTCGATTCTTGATGTCTTCACTTAATTCTTTTTCTAAGTGAGGAGAACCAAAATTTCTAAGTCCCACTCCTGTGTTCGGAAACCTATGACGTACTTCGTTAATCCGTACACGACGATAGTACCTAGAAGAGGTCACTTCCCCTTCCCAGTTACCCAAATTTCACTACCAAGAATGAGGACTTGAAAATAATACGAAACATTAAACAATTGTAAACAAATCATAAAGCAAAATTTGCGAGATTAAAATTCATGCAATTGTAGCTAAAGAAATAACCTAACGTTCTTACATTTCTTCTTCCTTCAGTTGTGTAGGCATTAAAGTAAACTTGCCATCCTTTCAAGCCAAGATCTTCAGCAGTAGGATTGCTTGCCATCTGACGAACAAGAGATGGACCTCGCACACGAAGCGCTCGTAGCGACGGGAATATCATGCTAACTGCCTAAATAACAAGACAAGGTAAATCTTCTAATACTTAAGAATGCATAGCAATGTTATTAGTTTTAAATTTTTACTTACAAGTGATGAAAAATACTTAATCACGAGAAAGGACTACTTTCTACTTCTTGACAAATCCAAGATGGCCGCCAGTAATAGGGAGAGCTGCTGACCTAAACAATGCGGGCTCTGATAGCCTCGGCACAGGCTACCCAACACAAATTGTGCTGTTTGAATAATTTTTTAAATGATTTTTTAAAGGTCAAACATTCCATTCAAAGATTCTTTTATTTTTGGCTATACCTTCTGGGTAACAATGAGTTTGATTCGTAAATGGAACCAGCTTTTATGATCTGCGCGCTTTTTTGTTAAAATATATGATTTCACATGATTTCAATTTAGTTACATTTTGAACCCCGATTTTATCCGTGAAATGAATCCCCGATATTTAAGTGAAATAAACGCACTGGTTCGCTACATGAAAGTAATATTCAGGGAGTGTAAACAGGGAGTGGCTAAAGCTTTTATTAAGTTTTATATATATATATATTTATTTCTCCCGTACGATGTCGAACATGGATGACAAGTTATCTAGATTTCCGATTTTGCTGTGCTACGTTTTAGGGTGTTCCATTAGTTATTCTATACTGTTCGATTAGCATTATATTCAATAATATAACGTTATGTCACAATATTAAATATATGTTGATCCACGGTACATTTTTTCCTAAACTTAGCTGCCACTCATCCACAACCAAATATTCTACTTGAAAAAAAAAATATTTCGCTATTTCATTACTTAATCTAATACTTATAGTTAACTGACGTCTAAATTTCGAAATAGATTGAAATTTTCAACTAAAATTTCCAGCAGATGCGGCAACAGCCATCTTATTTTACCGCGAGTTTGTGAAGAATGACCTAATAAGGGCATACGCCGAATGACGTCATTCTTTGCTATAAGAGCTCAATGTTTTTATGTCTTGGCTTGCATTACCAATAAGGCTGGTCCTGGGTTTGTTGTTGGCAAGAGCTGAGGTGCTGCATTCAAAAGTCTGTTCCTTTAGTCTGTGTTTTTCAACTACCAAAAAACAATATGTCGGCCAAAGCAAAGGACAAGAAGAAAGGTGGCACCAAAAAGAAGGCTCAGAGAGCAACCTCCAATGTTTTTGCCATGTTCGATCAAGCACAGATCCAGGAATTCAAAGAGGCGTTCAACATGGTTGACCAGAACCGCGACGGCTTCATCTCAAAAGAGGACTTAGCTGCAACATTTGATTCGTTGGGGAAGCTAGTCAATGATCAGTTTCTCGAAGAAATGTTAGGCGAAGCAACAGGTCCCGTCAACTTCACTATGTTCCTGACACTATTTGGCGAGAAAATCAGTGGTACAGATCCTGAGGATGTCATACGACATGCTTTTGCTTCGTTTGATCCGGAAAACAATGGATTCATCGACGAAAGCAAACTAAAGCGACTTATCATGGGACTTGGTGATCGGTAAGGCTTTCTACGACTTTTCTTTTATTTATTTCTTTATTTTTAGAGTTCAATTATCTTGATATAAATAGTATGAGTTTAAATGACTTGATTTATAATTAAAGTTCACAATTCACCTGTTGAACGCAAAATTCAGCATCCTAAATTTTGAAAACGAAACCGTTTCTTACATGCATGGGATAAAAATATGTAGTCAGAAAAAGAGAAACAACTTAGGGATTGCTTTCGGACACACCTTCAACTTTCAAAGAGGTTCTGGGGCGCAAACCTAACATTTGCTTAATTCGTAAATTCTTTTCGGGAGATGTATTTCTTACCTCTTTGGTGAAAATATAACCGCACAAGCTTGTTTAAATCAAAAAAACGACATTGAAAGTTCGATCGAAATCTGAAAAAATATCTGTCTAGAAAAAACTTCATGTCCATGAAAGAAACAAATACTTTTAACTTTACAATCGAATCCAATAATTCATCGTTTTAAAATTTTCGTGTTTTTATCAAAAAATTGAAAAGTCTATTGCATTTTTTTAAGCACAGAAGTAATGTGGCTGCACTTTTTTTTTGAAATTTTCAATCTATTTGAAAAAAAAAAAATGATTATTTGATTTAGTGAGATAGCCTTTGACCTCATTTTCACATCGTAATTTACCCTTCAATAACTTGGTCTATAAATCTTTACGGAATAGTTTAGTGAAAAATTAAAAAATGTTTTTTTCAAAAAACTATATTTGATTTTTCGTTTGTTTTCGTTTGTTTTTTTTTTTGTTAAGAGTTTTTGCGCTTTTGTAGACGCTTATTATCATTTTAAGTCAGTTATAGCAATGTAAACAACGGCCTTTTTCTAGTATACTGCTGTAGTACGCTTTACTGTGTTTGATATAAATTGTACGAGCATTTGAAAATTTTCAAAAATATTCCTAAGTTTTTTATAAAAGCCATACCAATTCATATACTGTTTAAGTCTCGTGAAAATATACATTTTATTTTTGTAAACTCTTAGCAGATATTTGTCGATCTTTGCTTTATTGTGCGTCGATTATCGGTTGAGCGCGCAAAGACTTTCATTATCCAAAATCTCACTTAAACAATAAAGTCTTTGTTTTAGGTAATTGATGTCCGGGAAAAAACGTATTGTGATAACTGGAATTAATTCTTCTTGAATGTTGTGTAGTTGAGTGCATTAGCGAAGTAAATTATTGTTAATGTTTAAGCAAACTTAAGCGAGCGTTTGCGACTTGGCCTTCGTAAAGTATTTACTTTAAAAAAAAAAAAGAAAAAATATTGTACAAAATCTTTCAGTTATTTTGGTTTGAGTTATAGGGTTCTCATTACCCTAAACCTAAGGACTCGTTTCTCGACTGCTAACAAACAAACAAACAAATGTCCAATAGAAAATGCAAGGTTTGGGAACGGAACCTTGAACCTTGTGGAAACCCTATACTAATTCGAGTGAGTTTTTCGAGTGATTTAATAATAAAGTTTCTTTATGATACTCTCTCAGATTGTATTTGGCAAGCTTTGTTAACTATTCTTTTCCTTTCTTTATATTCAGCTTCACCGAAGACGAATGGGACATGATGATGGACGATTGCCCTGTGAACAAGAAAGGAGACATCCTGTACAACGACTTTGTACATCTCATTAAATACGGACCACAGGAAGACTAAATCCACTCCATTTTTTATTAACAGACATTTAAAAGTTTCATATTTTGTATTAGTTTAGATTGATCTTAATGCATTACTGGTATCGAATTTAAGAATTGTGTGATTTTCAATTTTCTCATTGAATATTCTCCAAATAAAAGCTCTTTTATTGTGGATGCTCCGAGAGCATCTTTCATAAGTCAAAAAGACCATGTTTTACTCCTCTAAACATAGTCGTATTATTTCAGAAATTTGCAGTTAGAAATTGCTAAGGAGAGCGTCGGGTAGGGTGATATATTTTTCAAAGGGCGGAAAAAGATGGGAAGATTGGAAAACAGATGAGGCTGAACACATGCTGGGACTAATCAATTTTATTTAAAGTAGCTCCTTGTAGTTCTTATATCTGAATACAATACGATCTGATTTTAAGTCGATAAATACTTAATCCCTTCTTTAAAAAGCTGGATCGATCAGGTTTTCACACCAGATGCTGGACCATAATTAAGACGTTTTAGCTGAATTAGCATATAGCGTTACCATAGCAACCATAGCAATGACTTTTCATTTTGAACTTTTGACTTTTGACTTTTGATTTTTATTATAATGTACCAGAAACAAGCGAATATTACCTCGTAAACCTGCATTATATGACACACAACAAGTAAATGAGTGAGACAACTCAATCTGTTTAAATTGGAATGGATAGCATGTGTGAACGTTAACTTCCATGCAAAATCCGGCCTTGTTTCGTAACAGCTGAAAATGAAAGAAAAACAGTGATAATAAGCCGTGAAATAGATATTTTTACAATAACTTACAAATTTCTCGCGCGCTGATTGACTGATTCTCTTGCTGATTTTTATCATCAATAAGTGGACAGACAGATACAGCTGTCGTCATCGCTCTTTCCGTTGGTTGTTTTTATCGATAGAAAAGTGATATTTTATCGTTTTTCTTGTTGTTTTTGCTATTGTAAAAAACAAATTGACATCAGATTTTCATGTGTCTGTTCTCTTACTGACGATAAATTTCGCCATCACATTGTCAAAGTAGTATGCGGATCCACACTACTTTGAGGACAGACACATAAAAATCTGATGTCAATTTGTTAAAGAACATACCATATATCCGTAAAAAAGTTAACTAGAGTGCACGCCCTAAACCCGTGAAACAAATACTAACTTTTAGTACTAAATGGTGATAAATAAACAATAGAAAACAAAGGATTCTCTATGAAATAGTACTAATTAGTACTAATTAATGTTCACGGATTTAGTGCGTGCACTCTAACAAAACTGTAAAACTTAGTCCAAAGTTTTGTACAAATTTGTGCAATTTCGTACGACGTTTTTCACGTATATATGGTATGCAAACTATTAGAATAATACACATTAGTAGACCCTTATTCCATAGTTTTCGTTTGTGTCTATATTTGACTATTACACCACGTTGACTAGCAAATAATTTTGGTTCTAAATTGCTGCAAGGGTTTCCTTCAATACCAATTGAAAGTGTTTAAAGTGGTCAGCAAAGGGTTCGATTGTCTTTCTTAAAGTTATGACATTAATTTTTACTGCTGATTAGTTAATCATGAGCGGTCTAGGGGGCGACTAACCTCTCCCTTAGGCTTCGGCCGAGCTTCCTAATCAGTCTGTAAGTCCTCGGATAGCGGTGTCGGGGTCGAAATCTCCGGCGTAGCCGTAAATGCTTCGCGCTGCCTGCCTGGTTCAGCACTCGATGTCTGGAAGTATGGTCCTAAATCAAAATCAATCAAGCAAGCAAAATGAAAACTAACAGCCTGGTTATTTATTATCAAATGGATCAATTTACAAAGAACACTTAGGAATCCTATGTGAGCATGCGCGATTTAACATGACTTCTCATTTTTGCTTTTGTTTATTTTTTGTTCGCTTTTTCTTTGTTTGTTTTTTGTTTGGCTCTAATTTTTTGTCTTAAAAATGTAGTATTTTAGGTTCTCAGTTTCGATAACCATTTTAAATGTGTAGACCGTATAAAGACTCATCCATAATATCCCAATATTTTTACTTCGAACTCCTCTTTCCCTAACAATATTGAATGAGGAAGTGTAATGACGCTTATTGTTCTGTGTTGTCATAGTTTTCGTATTTTGAATGCAGTGCAGATGTGATAAATCCTGACTTACGGGATATTAAGGGTCAGAAAAGTCAATACCTAAACTAACTATACTTATAAGAAAAATGATATCTTTCTTATCCGAAACTACATTCAAAACTATCAAATTCTGTTAGCGAGCTGGAAGATTTTCTTGAACATATCGAAAACAGCCCATCAGGGGTTTATCAAAACATCTTTTGTTCTACCAGTAGAAAAACTATTTTTACACCCTACTATTCAGTAGCTTGAAGCTTGTAGCTTTTCTATATTGCAGGTGTGGGGTTGATTTAGCTTTTCATATTGAAAAGCCTCTCGTAATGCTAAGTCTGTCATATCAAAAACAGAGAAGACATACTCCAGACCGTGGGCAGTTGATTACTGTCGAATTAGTTTTTCCTTAGACGTTCTTATCCACCAATCCTCTTCTTAAACAACATAGAAAGGCTGATTTTGATATTTTGAGGTAAGATTTTGTCAAATTATAGCACTTTTTTGCTAGCTATTTGTCAGTTTGGTTATTTAGAACAACTTAGAAGCGATTTTTACTTAAGTTTTTATCTCAAAGTATTTCGCTCCTAATTTAAATTTTCTGAACGACCTAAGCAGTGAAATCTAAATAATACTAATTCATTCGATTCAATGCAGTCATTTGGTAGCTCTGCTTTAGTACAAAATCGTCTCAATTAATCCTCAGTAAACTAAACTCAACAAACCATAAAAAGCAAAAAAGTTTACGTTGAAAAAATCGAAGAATTCAGTTATTTAAGTGTCAACCTTTGTTACATTTTTTAAAGATACATACCTAAGAGTTTAAAATTATCAAAGAGAGGGAAAGGGTTAGAGAGAACTAGAGTGAAGATTGAAAACATATTATTTGTACCAATCAAAAGCATAGTACTTCAAACAAATAACTCCCTGAAACAACCTCTGGGCTGAT